ATTTTGATATACTGAAAAATGCATAAGTATAAGCTACATCCATGCAACCATCATATTTTGTCTAGCAGTCTCTTTAGCTTTAAACAACTTGGAAAATCTATGTCAGGAAATTCAAAATTCTTGCAACAAATCTTTACTGATGCTGCAACAACAAAGTCTGATGGCATTGCTAACAAAGAAGATGAGCAGAGTTACTTTGAGTTACTTTGGGAATCTGTCAACTCAAGGTATTTGAAGAACATTACAATTTTGATGGATGAAAGAGGGCCCTCCACCAATGTTTGCTCTAAAGAAGAAAAAATACACACTTTAGTAATGAAGACTGTCACCACACCACCACATCAAATGACCAACCCTCTGCATGGGTTAACTCTGGTTTAACTTAATCCCAATGAAACTGGAAAAAGGGAGAATAGGCTGATGCACATAAGGGTGTGATGAGGATGCAGAGAGTAGTCGATAATAATAAGTCCAAAAAACCACAGAGCTGAGTATACAGCAGAGATTTTTGTTAGGCAATTGAAAGGTTTTTTGTGTGAAGAAATGCACCTTGTTTCAATGGTAGAGACCCATAATTTAAGACCAAACTTCATTATCATAGCAAATAAGTAAAATAGCACAATCAATGATGATGAATAGCTCAAGTATTGCAAAACCTTCCAACTACCAAACTTGAAACAACACTTGGAAAGAATAGGAACAAGACCAAAAACTGTATGAAAGGGTGTTAGGGGTAGACTCCAGTACGGGACTCGGTCTCAATTACCACAGCACTTGTGTACGCAGTTGTATATTGGTCAGAAAGGTTTCCTTTCAGGGGGTGAGCAGGGGAGAGTAAGCTTGTATACGACTCCTGAAAGAACATCATATTAAGCAATCACATTGCAAAAATACAAGAGTAATAGAAAAGAATTATCATCCTTCAATGAAAAGAAAATTCTTAATGACAACAATCAGACTGAAAAGATATCCTTTTTAATCCAGATTTACCAGTAGATATTTGATTAAATTTCAAACCACATATGTAATAGAAGCATCCATTCTGTTATATAATAAATGCATCTTTATAAAGAAAGATATTACATTTACACACATGAACACACACACGCACGCATGCACACGCACACGCACACACACACACACACACACACACACACACACACACACACACACACACACACACACACACACACACACACACACACACACACACACACACACACACACACTAACACTCACACTCACACTCGCATGCACGCATGCACGCATGCACACACACACACACACTAACACTCACACTCGCATGCACGCATGCACACACACATGCATGCATGGACACACACACACACACGCACGCACCCACGCGCGCACGCATGCCACACGCCGCAGGCATGCATCCACACACACACAAACACAGTCAAAATCACAATACCTTAATATTGTCTTAAATTTAATTAAATACCATCTGAAAAAACATAAGGAAACACTATGTAAAACATTAGTTCTATTTTGGACATGTCACCTGTGCTTGTACACTATTGTAAAGAAGAGAAAAATTATTAAACATGTAAAACATTATCCGCCTGCTTTCTAAGTACTCTTCACTCTGTCTGAAAAGCTGTACAAATAATTTCTAAAAAAGAATTTTTGTTATTGAAATTTTTGCAAAAGGCCACATGAAGTGCATTCTAAGAAATAGTTCATTGATTTTTTTCAATAATGGAGATCTGAAACTGAATCCTTCAAAAACTGTTTTATTTACTGACATTATATGTAACTGATTTTATTTTTCCATAATACAATTATCTATATACATTACAAAAGTACATACTGCACTGACAAAAGAAAGTCTATCTAGAATCTGGTCTGGTCTGTCACATTCATCAACACTTCAATTCATGTCCACACTGAATGTGTCATTGCCACCTGATTTTGCTCAGATTTTGGAGAATTTGCCCTAGGTATATCTTCCTAATTTTGAACTTGCTCTTGTAGATAAACTGTCCTAAATTCAGCTTAGTCTTTAGTTTTTACTCTGTATTCTATGCATTTAAAGTATACCATGATAAAGTGCAACTCTTAGTTAGCTAGCAGTATTATGACCAAAAGGAATTTTTCATAAAAAATGTAGCTATTACAAAAAATGCAGCATAATCCAACCTAAACAGATTATTCTCTAATAACAAGTACTTTAGAACAACTACTATACAGACAAAGGTGAAATCTAAAATATCTGAGCAATAATCAAAAGAGCAGAGAATTTTTTCTTACTGTACACAAAACTTTAATGATAAAAAAGTGAATCCTAAACAAAAAAAGGTCCCAAATATTTTTGAAAATTTTGCCATGACTTCATATGACCTTACCTTGATAAACCAAGCATCTATACATTATGCTAAAAATATTGAAACTCTGTTACTTTCCTTAATGCTTGTGTCTAATATGGGAAAATTCTTCTCAGCAACAATGATAGTTGCTGCACCCAAAAATAAACATTAACATGCCCTCTTATCATATACATCAAATAGACATATATAGATGAACACATTTCAAACAAGATACCCATAACTCAAAGACATTTCATTATACAGAAAGCAAGATGAACAAATTGATAAAATAAACTTACTTGTATTTTTGTTCTGACACTACTTCTTGTAGTGATAACCGAATACTGTCCTCCTGTTGAGCAAGCCATCTGTTTTAACACTGCTGTAGGGATGGGATGTGGTCCCACAGCATATGTAAATACTCTCACATCCTTTGTATCCTCATCTGCCTTGTATCTGATGAAGAAGGTTAGTTTTAGTTACACTTTCATTCAATCACTTCACAACTCATTCTGGATAGAAGTGTATGATATTAATGATAATGCATAAGACTGTGGGTAACACTACATGATCATGGGACACCAAATATATGTGCCATAAATATTTCCAATTCCATTCAAGAAGATCTCTGGCGGCAAGTTTTGCATAATCTTTATTTACAACCTAGCTATCTGTCTTTAGCCACTGAATGACACCAATCTGCATTTCCCTTAAAGAGGCAGATTGGTTTTTGGCAATCACTAACTTCTTAAAGATCTCTTCCGGCCATTCAGTTCCTCCATCGCTGAAGAGCATGATCGTTTTGTGGCACTGAGCCCCTTCTCCTCTTGCCTTGGTTTGTGAATACTGAAACATAATGGAAAAAAAATTAATATCATTTGCATGCAACTTTCACTTTATGAACATTCACAGACATACAGAGGAAATGGGATTAATACAGGTGTATGGTAGAGAAATGTAACTAGTAGAGGTCATTTGTTTTTCTTACATTTCTCTTATTTCATTTATGATAGTCTATGACAATTCAATAATATTTGTTTATGCTATATATATGCTCACATATAAATATGTTTGAGTTCTCATAAAGACGAAACAAGCTAACAAATCAAATCATGTAGCACTACTGATTTCCATATTCATCGACACTTCATAATTCTGCTTAAATCTAGATGCAGTAATGGTATCCAATTATGATTTTCTATAGAATGCCTTTCAACAACTCTTTTGAAGATATCAGATCATCACAAGTACAAACAAAACTGAGAAAGAGAACATTTACAATAAGAAGTATATATAAACATGATACACATATGTGTATATATAAACAAGATACACATCTTTGTATATAAAAACATGATACACATCTTTGTGGATATAACTATCTAAAATTCAATTTTTTTTTTCTTATGTGTCGAGCATTCATCTTGGAAATGTGCTTTATTCACAAGAGAAGGTAATTAGTACCCTTTTTTCTTTGGCATACAATCTTTGTTAATTAGTTTTTTCCAAATGTTGAAAAATAAAGTGCATTATCTGCTCTATATTAAACAAACCTAATTATCAACAAATAAAATAACCGTTTCCTACAGTAAGAAAAAATAAAAATAAAAAAAGAAAATGAAACCATTTTTGTATTTACATCATATCACATGTTACATACAAAAAATTGTTTCAAAACAAAGATCAGATCTGAATACATCCTCAATCTTAAAGCAGAAGATATAAAAATGAAGTAAACACTAACCTCTTTGAAGGCCTTAAGTGCAAACTCCAATGCATTTGAGTAGCTCGCTATGCCGCCATCTTCAAGTTCATCAATTGCCCGAAATAATAGTTTTTTGTTGCTAGTGCTTGCTTGGACTAAATTTTGATGGCAGCCTTCATTCTCTTCTTCTGTTCCATTTGCCTGAAAAAATTAAAGCTTTTTTAACTTTCAATTTCTGTGCGATATTGGTGACAATTATGTAATATATTTTTGTAATATGAATCTGTCAAGAGTTAAAAAAAAAAGAAAAATGTTAAAAATGGTAGTTTCTTTGGTTAAGTCATAAAATAACTTACCTTGCAATATGTACAGTTATTCACCCACTCCGTTGTGTCATTAAACTGAAAATTAAGCCATACATAAATAAGGGTAATGGCATGCATATACATGATGTTTCTGCATTTCCTGATTTTCTGCAGTTACAAGTATGCACTGATTTATTTTTAAAATATCCAATATATTCTAAAATATTAATTCATACTGTAAGAAAGAAAGTATTCAAGTCATATACAATAATACAACAACAAAAAAACATATGTCAAAAGATAAAGCTGAATATGATTAAGAAAAAATAGTATAATAAAAGAGACAAGAATTTCTAAATCAACTTGGCTTAAACTTTCAAAGGTTCTATAAAACAATGCAGGATATAGATTAACTATTAACCTATCATGGATGACATATGCTTTCTATGGCTATAAATAAGGATGCTCTGTTTCTTAGACCTGGATAACTTTTTTTAAAGCAATGAGTGCAATATATGCAGTTCTGCAATATCCCTTGTAAATTATTACCTTATCATTCATCATGAAAAACTAAGAAAAGTAAAAAAAAAGCTCAAAGCACCAGGCATGTGTTGTCGTCAGCCTCTGACTCAACCACTCAACGTCTTTGTATATTTCAGATAA